TCTGCAGGACATAATTATTCAAGCTATTTCAAGAGTGACAATGTTTATTTACTAGATCTAGTATTATGATTCATATCTTTGTCATCAATAGATCTCATACACTTCTGGCGTCAAGGAGTATCGGTAGATATATTTGGTCCATGTTGGGGAAGGTACATGGGACCTAGTCACTCTTTTATGATCGGTATGATCAATAGATGTATTTGGCAGATTATTTGCTAATATCGCAAATAGATTATCTTTTGAACTTCCAGTTCAATCTAACTAGTACATGGATTTAAATAATGAAGATGTTTTTATTCTTATGAAATGTCTTGGCATTCCAAAAAGCTACGGAGTAGTATATTATCTCCCCCTAATGCCGAGAAACAATCTTCATTAGGAATGCAGTCAACGTACCCAATTATATGTATTGATCCCCTATCATGGGCTTTCGGTATTTAATCAATAGACATGAGTTTCTTTTGATAGCCCTTTTAGAGGTATGTTGTGGTGGTGATATAAAATAGACTGCGCAAATAAAATAACGTAGATAGGGAAATGTTACTTCTGAAACCACGTACTAGGTGAAAAAGGGGGTATAGCAATCCTTGAGGGATTGATTTGTGATATGCATTGAGTTAGACTTGGGTAAAAAGAACTTGACTCATAGTAACGTCATAGCAATCCTTCGGGGATTGATGGGATAGGTGGACCATTTTTGGTCATGAATTTATCGTCAAGGTTCATCCTAAAGGGTGACTTAGAGAATTAAAGTCCTTAATCTACCTTCTGGGCAAATAAATATACAATAAAAATGAGGGCTATAAATTTAAATATCATATGCCCAAATCTCATGTCAAAGAGTTTCTATAGCAGAAACTAGCACCGTAAACATGTCATAGCCTTTAATTGTTATCACATGCAAGTTAAGGTTTAGCAACGACAGATGCAACTTAACCATATTAATAATTCATGCTATTGTCCCACTTATAAGTTGGGTGATAAATCTCAATAGCTATGGCCTATAGCAAATCATAAATTGCCAACAAGAGAAATAACAAAATCTCTTATATGAACATAATCAAGAGATTATATGCTTAAATGATGTCAATTAAAGAGAAGCACATGCAATATGTGATATAATTTTCCCTTATGTCTTGGACACCAAAAACTCAATTTAGTCATGCACATCATATTTGGTACACACAAGGCATGACATGACAAGAGATATTCTTATTAATTCATAAATTGGAAAAATGAGAGAAGTACCGTTTGCCGAAGAATAATGAGCACATGTTTGTTGCCGGGCCCATTCATTCCTATTTTGGGGAGTCAAAAACAGTACTTTTCCAAGAAAGCTCTCATTTTATCTCATAGTTTCATACAAGCATGAAAACGTCACAAACCTCATGACCAAGTTTTATATGAATTCTGAGAATATTCTATTTGACCATAATGTATGGCCTTATTAGTATACTCTTTAATTTGGGTTAACAAAGAGTTTATAGCATTCTGTTGAATTGCATGCCTATAAGTTGGTCGGCCGGGTTCATTCCAGAACTCAATGAAACTATGATTTTGGTATTAAGAGTGGTTATGAATTATTTTCTATGGAGCTTTTAAGATGTCAATGGATTATTTGTTATAGGTCATGAAGATTAAGATTTATTAACATTTTGTGTTTAAATCTTAATGGGAGATAGCCCGGAAGGCACATCAAAGCCACTGTTTATTATGGGACAATCCGTGAATGATCGTTTTGATCAACAAGTGGTCATAGTCTGAATTTTAAATATAGTTTTGCCTAGAAAGGTAAATCAAGAGCACTATTTTTTATCTGTCACCCGTTATCTTGCCCCAACCCTTGATTATAGATATTTGATCTAAAAGTATTTATAGACCCTAAGTCAATCCCTGAAGGATATTTGGTGTATGCGAGTCTCATTGTCAATGGTCGTATTGTATTCTAGTAGTAGTACATGACAAAATTATGCTAAGTGTTCGGTCATTGGGCTATTTTTAATAAGGTCTGGAAGACCCTGAATGTGGATTGATCTTTAAAGTGACTAATGACTTATGAATGAAGTTTGCAACTTCTATTTCTAATGCTATGATACTCTCCGAAAGTCAAAATTGACTCACATCACGTTGGTTTGCCTGAAGCAAACAAGTTGTGATTTTTTTTTGACCGGCGCAGTTTGAAAATTAAATTCGTGAAAAATACTTCTTGAACTCCTTTTGGCATGATATTTTTTTCTGGAGAACCTAGACTCGTGCTGATAACGTGTTAAAAGGATATACAGAATAGACAAGGGAGAAACGAGGATCATTTCTATTCATTCATCTACTTCCTTCATATTACAACAATACATATATGTAATATACATTTGTAATGGAAGGTAATAATGGTAGACATAAATCTGACCGTTACATCAGTTACATAATCAATCTCATAATGTCCACACTTAATTATATTTATAACAGATTTTTGTTTATTTTCTTTATAGGAGATTATTAGAGAAAATTGTCTTATTTTAAATTGAAAAAGATAATAACATTCTTATAATCAAGACTTTATGTCTAACATTACTTTTAGGTTATATATATATATATATATATATATATATATATATATATATATATATATATATATATATGTCTAAAATATGATTTTTCAAGTTTACTAATAACTATTTTGGTGTCATTACATATAAGAGTTGAATGGTCAATGTTTCTCATCAAAAACATAACATGAGCTACAACCTTCAACTCCCAGTCATATTTAGGAACAACAAATCATCAAAATTCATTTAAAAATTCAGGCGTGTGCGCATCAGCCAAAAAATCAGTGTTGGTGATAGAGAAAATTAATTCGGAATGATCAGAATCAATTAACACGATTAATTAAAAGATAAATAATGTGTAAAGACAATGATGTTTTAGAGAGACAAAGTAGTCTTGTAATTGCATTGATGATTCAATATGGTATGAGAAGACATGGGATGTGTCAACAAAACAAAGAATGCTTATTTGAAGTAGAAATTCTAACTAACCCCCACAAATAGGGCGATCAACAAGAATAGGTCTCCGACCAATCAATACGGAGGTCGACACCGGCAAGGGGTAGACCTTGGAGGCCGACTCTAGGGGTAGACGCTATAGACCGACCAGAAGAGCCTATTCCGGAGGCCGACCTCATGGGGGCCGACTCGACCTATTGGCCTTGGGTTGACCTTGTGCACCTTGGGCCAACCTCGTGTTGGCCTTTTTAGAGTCGATTTACCTCCCCTCGGGTTGGTATACTTCAAACCAGGTCAAGTTGTTTCATAGTTTAGCAATGTTGCAAAAAACGTTAGGCGCCCCCTAGGCGGCAAGGGGGCGCCTAGCGCCTAGGCGCCGATTTTTTTATTTATTATTTTTAATTTTTTTATTTATTTTTTATTTTTTAATTAAAATTAAAATTTAAAATTTAAAATTTTTAAAATTTAGTAATAAAACATAAGGTTTCCATAGTTATTTCTCAAAAACTAGTTACGAAAGTGGTTGTAAAATTGTTCAAAAGATTGTTTAAACAATCTAAATACATAAAAAACTAAAATTAAGGGCTAAAGAAGCATTTTTTTGAGAAATTATTGGACCAAAACGGACAACCGAGACAAAAGTTATGCCTTCCCGAACTTTTCGCAATTTAAACAGCAAAAAAAAAAATTAAATTAAATTAAGGGCCGGTTCAGCCGGCTAGGCGGCCGCCTAGCCGGCCGGCCGCGGAGGAGGCCGATTCCGGCCTTCTTTGCGGCGGCGACCGGGCACCTAGGCGCGATTTTTGCAACCATGTAGTTTAGGCCCATGCTTAATATATTCATCATTAGCCCCTCACTCTTAGAGTTGTGAGTTCTCATCAACGAGAGAGAGAGAGTATTCTCTCAACCCGCGATTCGTGTTGACCTCGCTCGTGCGGGGGGAGATGGAGGAAGTGGCGAGCCACCCAAGGCCGAGCTCCAGCTGAACGCATATACTCTAGGCCGCCTATCTTGTATTTCATTTTATTGGTTTTGTGATGAACTATGCTTGTTATGAATGACAATGTTCCTTGCTTTGACTAGAGTATTACCACCCTTCCTCAGGAGAAATTATGTTCTCTTTGCTCTTACGCTTTGCTTTTTATTTTCACTTGTGCCCGTCTCGTTCCCTTTGCAAGGTGGGCCGACCTCATACCATGGTCGACTTAGGTCATATTTTGTCGTTGTTGTAACCTCTTAGGACTTAGCTAGCCATTTCACTGGTCGGGTCGACCTCGTGTTTGGCCCAAGCATCTCTTGTCCTCTTAGCACTACTTCTCCTTCCTTGACGGGCAAGGTTGAGCTAGTGAATCAAGTAGTTGGACTACCATGATGGCCCCAAGGGTCTAGACGATGATCATGGCCTTCTAGTGTTGGGTTCACTACTTCGCCAGGTGAGCCTACCCTACATCATGATTGGTAGGGCATCTCTTAGCTCCGTGTCGAGACACCTCGTTGGATTTTGCGTTGGCCAACCCAAGGCTCATTTTTGTTTGCTCTAACGATGTCTTACCTCTTGGTTAAAAGGGGTCAACTCACTTGCTTTGTGACCTAGATGATCAAGTCCATTAGCAGGGTCGGCGACAAGCCCCCCACTTCTTCTCCCAAGCCCGACTAGGCCTTTGGAACGGAGCATGGAAAGAGACCTTTGCGTGACTTGTCATTGGACCAATCGGTGAGTTATCCTTGCATCGGAGCCTTTGCCTTTTGATCCTGTGTTGAGCTCAACCGATCACAAATGCGAGGGCCTTGGTTGCCTTCGAGCTTAGCGCAAGATAGCTTTGTCTCCACTGTTGGCTTCCTGGAACCTATGCTAGCTGTGTGTTCATGATTCTGCCTGAACCATATTAATTAATGACTGAGTTACTGAGCAAATGTACTGAATGTTGCCATCATATACTATATACTGTATAGCTTCTAATTAAACAAAAGATGTAATACAAATCAATACACATATACTACATTATTTGGTTCTAAACACTTAAATTATATAAATAATGCCAATTTAAACATACTAAGCCTCTACACTACACTACATATAAAGGATGTAGTTGCTACCTACTAATTATCATCATCAATTTTTGTTAAGGGAATATGTCTATATTTAAAATTTTATATATATATATATATATATATATATATATATATATATAGGAAAAAGTTCAAATACGGCGGGGTCTTCCCGTGCGGCGGTGCAGCGAAATTTTAGAATACACCAACAGTGTTAACAACATGCACCAACAGTGTAAGGAAAACACACCACAATGAAATGCAATAAAACATCAAAAAATACACAGCAAACCCAAAAAATACACCATATAACTCACCACCCCCAATGGTGTATTTCCGAACACTGTATGGTGTTTTTACTCACCTAATGGTGTGTGTTTGGTGATGCGTACCTAATTTGTCTATATTTTTTGTGGTGTATTTTCCTAACGTTGATGGTGTATATTTGTTGAACTATTGGTGATGCCGCACCGTCGCACCGTAAGACACCGCCGCACCTGAACTCACCTATATATATATATATATATATATATATATATATATATATATATATATATATATAAAATACTTTATATAATAAAGCTATATGGTTTGGGAAATAATTAATGTTACAATTAATGCCACAACATCCTTTATTATTAAAAAAAAAAAGCACAACATTTAAAAAAAAAACTATATATTATATAATCATATAAAAAATATACTTTTGAAAAGTAAAATAGCTATATATTATATAATCATATAAAAAATGTGTTCAATTAGAGTTTAAATTTACACATACAAAATTTAAAATTTGCTTTCCAAATGTAATTATCTTAGTTATTATTTGTATTGTGAAAATTATAATATAGATGAAATACAATTAAGAATAAATCAATGTAATTATGTAAATTATCTCTATAAGTTTATTTGAATATGCACATAATTAGAGATTATATTAACCATACAAAATTTTAATTTTAATTTTAATTGTAATTTTGTATTCTATAAAAATAATAAATACTTGACCAATGGAAGCTCAAAAATATTATTATATTAAATAATTTAAAATATTTTAATTTTTCTATTTTTTATTTATATTTATAATAACATAATTTTTTTCCGTGAATCGCGCGGATGAATTACTAGTATATATATATATATATATATATATATATATATATATATATATATATAGCCGAGATTGCTTGCGGCCTGGCTGCTACATGCGGCTGTGCGGTCAAATAGGAGCCCTTAGATTTAAACAATCTAACGCATCACATTCCTAACAAATTGGCGCCCACGTTCTCCAAACACACAAATTGCAGGGGTAATTTGTCAACTCATTGGAATTCAAAGGTTTCTTCATTTACGACTAACCGACTGCAAAATTTCGAACTCTACATTCACAATCCCAAAGCACAACTCATGTACTCCATGCGACGACGAACACGACGATGAACGACAAATTATGCTGTAGAAACGTGCCCACCTTGTAAGATGCACAACGACGCCGTTCTAATTAAAAAAAATTGTTTTTCACTTGCCGTTAACGATGTTTCTCTCTTCGCAATCGCATAGTTTAGAAATTATGAATCAATTGTATTTAAATTATGAATCTACAGTATTAGGTTTGTGAACATGTGCTAGAGATATATGTTCATAATTTTCGATGTTCATATTCTCAATTGTTGAACTCTATATTCACAAATCATAGAACTATATGTTCATAATTTGATAACTATATAGTTTAGAAGTTATGAATCTACAATCCAGAAATTATGAATCTACAGTACATATATTATGAATCTGCAATATAGAAATTATGAATCTACGGTATAGAAATTATTAATCTATTGTATTTAAATTATGAATCTACAGTATAGAAATTATGAATCTACAGTATAGAAATTATGGAGGATAACGGCTAGTTTTGGCAATCCATCTTCAAATAGCTATAGGTGCAACTGAATATGTCAACAGCTTATTACCCCGAACCATATGGTCAAACTAAGAGGGTGAATAGATGCTTGGAGATTTATTAGTTGAGGTGTATGGTGTTCCATAAACCTAAAACATGGGCTAAATGGTTGTCTATGGCTAAATATTGGTATAAGACCAATTTTCACTCCTTTCTACAATGTGCATCCGTAAGCACTATGCATGGTGCATACGGATGCAAAAACGACGTTGTTTTATTAAAAATGCGCGTCTCCCCTTAAAAAAAAAAATTCAGGTTTGATTCCCAGTAACAACATATGAACTAAAATTTCAGAATTGATGAACTATAATTCCATAATCGATGAATTATAATTCCATAATCGATGAACTATAATTCCAGAATCTAATCTATGAACTAAAAATTTCAGAATTTATGAACTAAAATTTCAGAATCGATGAACTACAATTCCATAATCGATGAACTATAATTCCAGAATCAATGAACTATAATTCCATAATCTATGAACTAAAATTGCAGAATGAATGAACAACATAATGCTGTTGCTGGGAATCGAACCTGATTTTTTTTTTTTAAGGGGAGACGCGCGTTTTTAATAAAACGACGTCGCGCATGCATGGTGCATACGGATGCACAGCATAACTACTCACAATGTACTCTATTTCAAGCTCTGATCTCTATGGTTAGAAACCTCCTATGTTGGCTTTAGGGAATGGACAATGCAAAGAGCTGAGGGTGATTAATGGTTAGCTGAGATGGATGCCTTACTGGCATTACTGAAGGAGAGTTTGAGATTGGCCCAACACAGGATAAAGCAGCAAGCAGATAAGAAGAAAAGTGAAAGAGTTCTGCAAATAGGAGATTGGGCTTACATGAAGGTTCAGCCTTACAGACAGACTTTTGAGCCTCCACTCATAGGCCAGGAAGGAGATACGTTTTAGGGATAGGGCTATTCATGCGGAAAGAAGAAAATGCAAGATCAGCCGTGAGGAGCAAGGAAGCTACATGGATGGGGAAAAAGTCTCGATCAAATTGAGAAGCTGCTATCTTACTTTTAGGAAATTTCTAAAATCTTATTGTTACCTAGTTTAGTTATTTAGCTATTCAGTGTATATATTAGTTAATTTCATTAGTTTTGGAATTTTGTCATATAAAAGGGATCGGAAAGACTGGTTTCAATAATAGCATGCGAAAAATTCTATTTCTAAAAGATGTAAGAGTTAATTTCATTTTTGGTTTTAGATTTATCGGTGACGTACAATTTATTTTAAGTCTTTTTTTATTAGAACATTCACTTTTAGTTTTAGTATTATTGTGACAGGACTATTTTTGGTCCTTTATTAATAAAACAGTTTAAATATCGTTAAATACCCGCATTTCGATCTTCAATTATGAATTTTTTTTTTCAAAAACTAAATATAGAAAATATAGCGGTCCAACCTATTTTGTATAAAAAAGATTGAAATGTCTTTGTATTTAACGATATTTCAACGATTTTGTTGAAGGAGGACTAAAAATGGTCATGCCACAATAATATTAGGATTAAATGAGGAATAAGGATGTATAATAAAAAGGGACTAAAAGTGAATTATCACCTATAAATCTAGGACAAAAAATGGAATTAACTCAAGATGTAATAAGGGAGTTTTGGGTAGCTTTCATTCTTTTTCTTTAAAATGACGAGAGAAACCTCACAATTCTTTCGGAAAGGGTCATAAGAAATTAAATCATTTTAGGTTACCCATAGCTAATGGGCTTATATTGAGGGGGCAACATTCGAACTCGTGACCTTGTGATTACAAGTGTGGATCTCTTGCCATCTTGGTTGGGGTTATACCAACACTTTCATTTTTATTATTTTTCATTTTCATGCATTGTTATCTGTGACGTGATGAGGTCATACTCTTCAGCTTCTGTATAAACTTTGATATTCATGGTAGGTATCATCATGTGACTCTATAAATGACACATACCTAATATGATATCAAGAAACTTTTATACATAATAAATAGATCAATAGGAAAATAAGTCATATATATAGGAATGAAAAGCAATTATCACTTGCTACATACTAGATGCCCATAAATTTGATTCATACTTGCATCACTTAGTTTGGCTTTGAATCATTTTCATAATTCATGGCAATCATGCTTGTCTTCACAATATCAAAGAGCCTAAGACACAATCGACTAAAACCCAATAATTGGTATGGCTGCCTCAACAAATTTAATCTGTGCCAAACTCAAACGGAAGCCACACTCGAAAAAGTATAAAGGCTACAACATTTGATCGAAAATTAAAGCATAAATGTATATAATAAGTGGTATATAAATCATCATTTCTCGTCACTCTATGTAGAACTGTTAAAAAAAAAAATGCGCCCGTTTTGCCGTTAACGGCGTTAATTTTTTTTTTTTTTTTTTTTTTTGGATTATAAATGTACAGTTATGCCGTTATGAATGTACAGTTATGCAATTATGAAATTATGAACACAGAGCTCTAACATTATGAACTTACAATTATGAACATATAGTGATAAAATTATGACCATGGAGCTTTAAAATTGTGAATATAGAGCTTCGAAGATTATGAATGTACAGTTATGGAGTTATGAATGTACAGTTATAGAGTTATGAATCTACAGTTATGGAGTTAGAGTCTACAGTTATGAGATTATGAATCTACCGTTATGGAATTATGAATGTACAGTTATTGATCGAATTATGAACAAAGAGCTCTGACATTATGAACTTACAATTATGAACATATAGTGATAAAATTATGAACATAGAGCTCTAAAATTGTGAACATATAGCTTCGAAAATTATGAATTTACAATTATGGAGTTATGAATGTACAGTTATGGAGTTATGAATGTACAGTTATGGAGTTATGAATGTACAGTTATAAAGTTATGAACATACAGTTATGGAGTTATGAATGTACAGTTATTAACATATAGTAATAAAATTATGAACATATACTCCTATAACGAAGCGGTCTGAAATTAAAAAAAAAAAA